TCTCTCTCTCTCTCTCTCTCTCTCTCTCTCTCTCTCTCTCTCTCTCTCTCTCTCTCTCTCTCTTTCGCCCTCCCTCCTTCAATTTATCTCTCTCTCTCTCGGCCGGGCCATAGCCGAAGGCCCGGGCGAAGCTAGAACTTCGCAAATCGCAATCGTCTCTCTCTCTCTCTCTCTCTCTCTCTCTCTCTCTCTCTCTCTCTCTCTCTCTCTCTCTCTCTCTCTCTCACACACACACACACACACACACACACACACACACACACACACACACACACACACACACACACACACACACACACTATTATTCTCATCAACCACGCGCTCTTCTCGTCACCATTTCTCCGACTGTCCACTCGGAATCCACCTTTATGCAGGCTGCAGTATATGTCTCTTCAGTCAGCCCTCTGTAACCTCGATGCAATTTTCGCGGGACGAACACCCCTCCGTCGTCTGCCTCTCCTTCGGATGTCCCCGAGTCTGGAGATTGGGACGGGATGGCGCTCCTGCAGTCCCAGTCCTGCAGTGGCTGTTCGGGTGGCGCGGGGGCATCGTAGAGTAAGTCCCCCATCAGACACCACTCGTTCCTACAGCAGGCGTACACTCTCGAACCCTTGTAGCCGTATCCGAGTCGGCCCGTCACCAGGAGGTCGAACTCGCGGCCTAGCCTGCCGAAATCTACCAGCTGTGTGTGTGTGTGTGTGTGTGTGTGTGTGTGTGTGTGTGTGTGTGTGTGTGTGTGTGTGTGTGTGTGTGTGTGTGTGTGTGTGTGTGTGTGTTTAGTAATTGGACAATTGTCTTGTCATACTGATATAAAGAATAAATGTAATGATAACGAAAAGAATATTACATATTACATTTACTCATAACATAGAACTAATTGATTCTCAAATCGTCTCGCGAAATTAGCTTTACTATCGAATCGCCTCTAGCAACCCTACCTTTAAAACTGTCCTCCCGATGAGCTCATTTTGGCACGCGAACTCCAGGTAAAGTCTGGTGTTGGCAGAAAGGACGGGAAGCGGGGCAGGAATGGCGACGGGACTGCCTGGCAAGGTCACAGCCTGGATGCCGTACGTGATGCCGGAGATGAGCTGGGTCACCATCTCGCCGCTGCCTGGGAAAGGGGCGGCGGTGTTAGGAGAGCGAGGAATATTATCGGTTTCACTACGCTGCGAATTTCTCTTCCTCTGTTATCAGTTAATTTGCTTGTTTTTCAAGTTCTTTCTATTTACCTCTATCTCTACCAATATTTTATTTCAGTCAGCTCTTGTCTTGTCTCTCTCTCTCTCTCTCTCTCTCTCTCTCTCTCTCTCTCTCTCTCTCTCTCTCTTCTCTCTCTCTCTCTCTCTCTCTCTCTCTCTCTCTCTTTCTCTTCCTCCCTCCCTCCCCCCCCCCCCCCCCTCTCTCTCTCTCTCTCTCTCTCTCTCTCTCTCTCTCTCTCTCTCTCTCTCTCTCTCTCTCTCTCTCTCTCTCTCTCTCTCTTTCTCTTTCTCTTCCTCCCTCCCTCCCCCCCCCCCCCTCTCTCTCTCTCTCTCTCTCTCTCTCTCTCTCTATATATATATATATATATATATATATATATATATATATATATATATATATATATACATACACATATATGTATATGCAGCCAACTGTAATTTATCTTAACCCTTCAGAACCGGGCGTGACTGGCTGGTCGGCTGTTACGTGGGCGAACAACACCTCCCCGGGGTATACGACGGGAAATTCCTGGTTCACGGTACTAGGTGTGTTCTTCCCGACTGTCACGGGCATAATGGCAGGGATTAACATGTCAGGTGACCTCAGGAGCCCGGCGAAAGACATCCCGGTTGGTACACTATCTGCTCTGGGTCTTAGGTGAGTAATCCACTGGGTATTACTGTTCTTAATCCATTGTGGCGTCGTGGGTATTTAGCCTGGTTGCCCTGTGACTCTAAATGCTAGTATGAAATGATTGATGTAATTCTAAACGTATGAATGTTTATTTTTGCACATTTTGAATGTGTACTGGCGATACGAAACATGCTATTTAGGCCATAAGATGTGATAGTGATAGTATTTTTTTGTGGTAGAGTATTAAGATTAAAATCCGTAGTGAAAACTATGAACTAGTGTGCTAAAGTATTTTATTTTTATTCCAAGCACGGTGCTTTACATGGTGTTCATCTTGGTCCTCGGTGCCACCGTCCAGAGGGAGGTGCTTCTCAGGGACTACATGATTACGGAGAAAGTTTCTGCATTAGGTGAGTTGGCCATAGAAAACTCTATAGATTTTTTTTTCTCAAGTTGCTGCGTAGACATTTGAGAACATTTGCAAAAACAGTTGTTCATGAATCATATATACAGTCTTGGGTTAACCCAATGTCAGCGGGTGGCAAGCCTACAGTACCATGCCCACTGTAATAAGAAGTTTATCTATTGTCTTTACAAATAGATGGTTCTACAAGTGCTTAGTCACCAAGGAGTTAGGTATTAGGTTTATCTCTCTCATCTGTTTACTCTTTTCCTTCATTTTTTGAAAGCTTCACTTCTATTATTTTATTGTTTTTGATGTTATTAATATGTTGATAACAATTAAATAATCATAATGTCAATAATAATGATAACAAAGTCAATATGAGTAGTGTTGGAAAGAAAAACGCATTTTTCCGCCAATTCAAGGAACGGGGAAATCAGGATCGGTCACTAAGGCCAACTGATAGACTCCTTGCTGCTGTGCACACGTGGAGCCATCTATATGTAACAAAACTCACTAAAATCTAAAGGGGACAATAAATAAACACGCTGACATTGGGTTAAGCAATAACCGACATAACAACGTATGTGTGTGTGCATATATATATATATATATATATATATATATATATATATATATATAAAATCATCTATGTAGGTATGTATATATGTATATATATATTCATTTACTTATTTATATGTGTGTGTATCTAAATCTATATCTATCTGTCTGTCTGTCTATCTGCCTATATGCATATGTATACACACTCACACACACATATATATATATACATATGTATATATATATATGTATATAAATATATATATATATATATATATATATATATATATATATATATATATATATATATATATATATAGTTAATCCTGTATTAACCAGTATCCGATATATATATATATATATATATATATATATATATATATATATATATATATATATATATATATAGAGAGAGAGAGAGAGAGAGAGAGAGAGAGAGAGAGAGAGAGAGAGAGAGAGAGAGAGAGAGAGAGAGAGAGAGAGAGAGAGAGAGAGAGAGAGAGCGAGAGAGAGAGAGAGAGAGAGAGAGAGATACAAACACCTCTGAGTTCAGTATCATAAAACCTGAGCAAGTCATGACCCTCGTTTTCCTTATTACTCTATTACTCAGGTGGTTATCATAAGATATAACCGTAATAAAAGTTAATTAAGAGCAAGTGTCTGATAACAATATCCAGCGTGCATTTTTGCCGTTTGTTATCCGGCGAAGGGATTTTGCGTCAGATGTGGTGCATTAGTGAGTATCTAGTAAGCATTTAAGATGTTAATAGATAGATAAACACATAAAACTAGCACACGCACACACGCTTACAACACACACACACACACACACACACACACACACACACACACACACACACACACACATATATATATATATATATATATATATATATATATATATATATATATATATATATGTATATATATATATAAACATATATATATATATATATATATATATATATATATATATATATATATATATATATATATATGTGTGTGTGTGTGTGTGTGTGTGTGTGTGTGTGTGGTAATGATCATGTTACCACTTCTATTATCATTATTATTATGTTACATTATTATCATCATGTATTATTGTTATTATCATTATTATTATGAAGATGATGACGACGACTGTTATCATTATAATAATAATAATAATGATAATAATAATACCGATAATAATATTGATAATGATAATCATTATTGTTATTGTTATTATTACTGTTTTTATCGTTGTTATCATTATTATTGTTTTTGTTATTATTATTATTATTATTATTATTATTAACATCATTATTATTATCATTTTATCATTATTATCATTATTATTATCGTTATCATTATCATCATTATCATTATCATTATTATCATTATTATCTTTATCATCATCATCATTATTTTTGTAATCACCATTATTATTATCATTGTTATCATTATCATCATTATCACCATTATTATTATCATTGCTATCATGAATACGGTTCATTGCTATCATTATCATTTCTGTCATTACGAATATGACAGACGCACGGATTTGTAAACATTGGGTAAGTCAAACCTAGTTATGGTAGTGGGTAATTCTCTCGTAGATACAACAGTGGGTTTAGAACCACTAATAATGATTACCTAACCAACTACTCCCCTGAGGAAGGATCGTGGGTCAGACACCCCAGTATAAAGAACCAGTCAAATACATGATGTCGACACCGTATCAGTGATGGCACACATATGCTGATTTAAAACTATGATACTTATTTGCCACAGTACTCACCAGTGGGATGTAGCAAGCTTACTGTAAGTGACGACGAGTGTGAATTTACTGATACGTAATACGAACTTCAGACGAGGATCTTAAAATACCGTGTATACTTTAATACTAATCCCATTCAAAGTCATCACGCTGTTTACGTCGAACACACCATAAAGATGCGAGGTATTGTTACCTGTCACTATACGCCACTGTGTTTGCTGCTAATGTCCTAACAGGCTATCAAAATAGGCCCGCATGAAAATGGTACACTTCACTACATGTTGATCCGTTTCTCAGGTCAGCTTGATAATCCTTTACGATGATATAAACAGCACGTTATGGCACTGCAGGCTACGCCTGTTGTGTCTCTGTTGGTACTGACCCGCACAGGAAGTGCTGCCTGTTTCTTTGATAACACTAATCTTCGCTGAAGTTAGTTTTCAGTTAGTCGTCATAATAATATAGGGTTTGTAAAGCTGATTTTGAAATACAGCTTGTGACTGTATTTATCCTAGATGGGTGATATTTATCAATGCCAATGGTTTTGCAAAAACTTAATATCTATTGAAACATTTTATGCGATGAAAAATGAATTTCCGATGAAATGATGACACCTGACGTTTGCCATCGCTGGGAAAAATAAGTATTTTTTTAATTTCTTTTTCTTTTCTTTTTCTTTTCTTTTTTTCATTATACTGCATAAGAACAATGAAGGAGATTAGTATTATAGTACTTTGTCATGTCCATCATAATGACAGTCGAAATATTTTTAAAGCCAAAGGCAGGAGTGAACTAAAGTGAAAGATTGGGCATGCGGACGATAAGGTGTTCAGATATAGGTGAAGAATGCTTATATTTGGTCTCCGTGTACTTATATACACCCTCTGGTTAGCGGTATTGTACATCTTTATAACTATTTCACTGTTGACTATTTAATACAGCCATTGCACATTTGGGTGCAGCTTTATTGTAACTTTGTTGTTCTTAGGCATTAGGAAAACTGGGCTGAAATGCACCTCCTCATTTTGATATTGTGTAAGGCAGGTTGCAGTCAACAAAAGGGAATCGTCTATCAGGATGAAACACTAGGAAAAGGGAAGCGAGGTAAAAGCGGATATGTATATACACATAAATAGATGAACAAATAAATGAATAACTAAATATATATATGTATATATATATATATGTATAAGATATATATTAACATATACATTAGTAAATAAATATATATATATATACATATATATAAACACATATGTACATAGACATATAAATATATTACATATTACATAAGAAGACAAATAGAAACACACACACACACACACACACACACACACACACACACACACACACACACACACACACACACACACACACACACACACACCTCACATACTCAGTCACTCAGTCAGTCAGTCAGTCAGTCACTCACTCACTCCTTTACTCAGTCAGTCAGTCAGTCAGTCACTCACTCACTCACTCACTCACTCACTCACTCACTCTCTCTCTCTCTCTCTCTCTCTCTCTCTCTCTCTCTCTCTCTCTCTCTCTCTCTCTCTCTCTCTCTCTCTCTCTCTCTCTCTCTCTCCTAATCTGTCTATCTATCTTTCTATCTATCTATCTATCTACCTATCTATCTATCTATCTATCTATCATTCTATATATATAAATATATATGTATTTATATAATGTGTGTATGGGGGGTGTATGTATAGTTAGAGTGAAGAAAATAATATGTAAACTAACTAAATAAAGAACTGTGAAAGGATTGGCTATAAGACAACAAGAAATCTGTTGAGAAAAAGCGCGAAGAGAATATTTTAACCAACACCTCAACACCACATCTAGACTCCCTCAATGAACTAGCGCTGTTCATAACTTCAGGGCATTGTAGAATGAGCTTTAACCCATCTCACTTCACGCAGGTGTGCTATTACTGGCTGGGCTCTACACAAGCACACTGTCCTCGACGCTGGCTTCTCTGTACGGCACACCACGCGTCCTCCAGTCTATCGCCAGCCAGAACGTGGTGCCCGCCCTGTCTCCGTTGGCCCAAGGAGTGAGTGCTCTTTCGTGCGGCCCATTCGGAGGAGGCCTGCGTGTATTTTTGTGATAGATTAATTAACGGGTGGATAATGAATGTAAAGGGGATGACTCTTTTGCTGATGAAAAGAATGGGTACTTTTCCTTATAGGCTCTATATCCGTCGGCGTTGCATCGGCATACATGTTACAAGAAAGCAATATCATGCTTAACAAAGGAGAAGAAAGGGAGGAAAAAAATAACCCCCGTTTCCCATTCCAACAGCGAGGGCCCAACAAAGTGCCCGTGCTGGCCCTGGTGGTGACCGTGGTGGTGACACTCGTCTTCCTCCTCGTGGGACGCATCAACACCCTGGCACCCATCGTCACCATGCCCTACCTGGCCACGTACGCCGCCATCGACTACGCTTATTTTGCCCTTGCGATGACGGCTGACCTGCAGAGGGCAAGGGAGGCGAGGTTCAGGTGGGTCGGGGAAGGAGGGGAAGAGGTGATGATATGGCACATTGTATGGCAAAAAGTAAAAGACTGGAAATTTATGGGAGAAAAGAATTGGAGATTTAATGAGGGGAAGGACAGAAAGGGTTGATAACAGGATTAACGGTCGAGGAAAAATCGATGTGACGTATATGTTTCAGGAGAAAGTTATTATTTTCCGTTTTCTTTGTCTCAGAGGTCAGACCTTCGGGACGCCCACTTTTGACTCCCGAGGTCTTGGGGGAAACACGGACCTTGATCACCTGTTCCCTGAGAGAGTCACTCACAAGAAGGTGATCACGGTAAGTCTTCCCTTTTCGTCGACGACACACATACACACACACACACACACACACACACACACACACACACACACACACACACACACACACACACACACACACACACACACACACACACACACACACACACACACACACACACACACACACACACACACATTAAAGCTTTAATAGATAATGAAACAGCCAGAATGCACAGATCCTTCGATGACCTTTTCCTGTTGATATTGAGTATAGAATTAAAACGCCGAAGTCTTCGAGCCTTGAATCAGCTAATGCCACACATTTGGATATTTTTCGTAAATTTCATTTGCGGAAAAAACTTCCTGACCTCAATATACCCTGACAGACGGCTGCGAGCTCTGGCACCTCGAGCTTAGTCTCCTCTCCGGACGACCACTCCAGCATCAAGTCCGACACTGAACCGTCCGCAAAGGGTGAGAGGCCAGGCGCCAGAGGAGAGGCGGCGGGGGTATAGGACATGGGGGTTCATCATTACTCCTAGTGCTTCAGAGATACACAAACGTTTTTTGAAACTATTATGTGATATAGCAAGACAGACTTAAACAAAGCTGGTGCTATACAGATATTTTCTGTGTCTACATGACCGTTTTTTTTACACAGAGGAGGAGAATGGCGGATCCGGGGCCAATGAAGACCTGCTGCCTGGCATGGGCGCTCCTGGAGACTTCCTCCCTATCACAGGGAAGCCTACCCACTGGTACTCCCACCTATGCAATCGCTGGCTGTCTTTGATAGGGGTGAGTTGGACATGATATCTTCATTCACCTTATTTATTCGTAGTTTTATTTGTGTAGTTTTATTTCCGGTGATTTCATTACTTAATATTTTAGTGAGGCATTTGCTTATACAGTTATAGCCTTGAGTACCTTTTTGCGCTTGAACTGAAAACATTTGTCGACAAGTACATCCCTGCACCGCCATGGCTTTTCAGGTGGGCGTGAAGGTGTCCATGATGGTCTGCGTCCACTGGGCCTACAGTCTCACCACACTGCTCACCATGCTGCTTCTCTACGTCTACATCGGGCAGGCTGCTCCCGGTGGGCCCCCTGGCATCGCTATGGAATTCGTCTTCCTGAGGTGGCTGAAGAACAGGTTTTTGGCGTGTTTTGGGTAGGTGTCCTGCCTGTTTTCTCTTCTGGTACGAAGGTGTTGAGAGATCTTTAAGGATCGCATTGCAAATCTTGAGGTTTCTATGATAGTGTCGGCGATGAAATTTACTAAAATATCTTCTAATTTTGTTCCCCGGAAATCATGCTTACCAAAAGGTAGGTCCGTACTTTCGGGCATTACATGTTTGACAGTATTTCTCGGACATTGCAGACAGAGGTCAGCCGAGTACGACCAAGTAGTCGTGACGCCCCTGCATCCTGGAGTCGAGGTCACAGCCAATCAGCTGACTGAGGAGAACGAGGACTTCGCCGCCAGGTCACGCTACCACCAGTCGACGCCAGGTCAAGCACTTCCCGATCTCACGGAACAACAGTAGCTACGTCATCATAGTCATCGTCGGTCTTGGCTTCACCGGCTTAGAAGTCATCTGAAGAACATTCTAGCTGCGGCCTTTGTGGACAAGGACGTTTTCTGCTCTGTACCACACGGAGGGAGATATCTATTCGGTGTATTGTAGTTTACCTACATCTGTGTTGGTGTGTGTGTATACACTCGTTATACTTAACTTCGTGGAAGCGCCTCTAGATAAGTGTGTTGCTCCATTGTTTAAATTCTCAATTGAGACACACGAGTAATAGCTGCCTATGAAATTTTCGATCTGTTTTGTGTTGCGAACATTTGCAAAGTGGATACTGTGTGTTTAAAATACATATTCTTAATGTAATTCAATTAATACTGTAACTTTTTATGCTCAACGCCAGTAAACTGAAGTGACGAGGGAAACAAATACCACAGGACAGGTTAATTCATAAAGTATATAAAGATATTGGAAGCTGATCCAGAATTAGATCAGGAAGATATGCCGAAAAGGTAGTGAATCACGCAACTTCAAATGACAGTCAGATGTACTTTTAGTTGGGGGCAAAACGTTGATAATGCACGAGAATGGGGAGCAGTAGTGCGTTCTGCTTAATCTCTAGTTCTTACTACCTCGGTGTGCACGTATACATATTTTACAGCACACACACACAAACATACACGCACACCACGCACACGCACACACAAACACACACACACGCGCACACGTACACGCACACCCACACCCACATCCACACCCACACCCACACCCACACCCACACCCACACCCACACCCACACCCACACCCACCCATCCACCCATCCATCCACTCATCCACCCACCCACACCCACACACACACACACACACACACACACACACACACACACACACACACACACACACACACACACACACACACACACACACATACACACACACACACACACACACACGCACACACACACACACACACACACACACACACACACACACACACACACACACACACACACACACACACACACACACACACACACACACACACACACACACTCACTCACTCACAAAGGCTTCTGTAGCATCAATGTAAATGCTGAAGTAATCACAGCGTATTTGCGAATTAGACTTAAC